TTTCAGGCTTGGATCCCCCATCACTTGACACGCATATCCAACTGGTCATGTGTTTTAACATAAACTGAGGATATACCGTGTGCTTCTGCATTCGTCGGCTCAGAAGAAATCAGGAGATAGAGCCATACATAATGTATCTTAACCGCTTGGTAGCCAGATTTATATACTTCCATACTTACGTCACTCACCGTGAGATGTGTCCCTTTGAAGATATTACCTTCTACTCAGTATGGTTGGCTTGTAGATCAGCCTAATGTATCCTTATATGACTGGGCACGTCATGTGACAGTTTGACTATATGGTGTTTATTCCCAAAGATCATTTTGAGTCTCCTTCTCTTGCTATGACACATAGAGATATGGATATCATGTTTGATTGTTATCTTAATCATCTGGTACCAGATGAGGCACTGAGTATGTAGCTCATAGAGACTTAAGTCTTGTACACTGTTATATCTAGTGGTATTTTAAGGTGTCACATTCGTATATGACATCGGATGCTCTGGGAGATCCATCTATGTCAACTTATCAAGAGATACTAGAGGAGGAGGAGGTTAGGGCAGATCATGTTGTTGATGTGTTTCTTAGATATCGTCGTATCATGGAGATTGGGCAAGCGGGTATAAATAAATGCCTCTTTCTGGATAACTCTGAGGTGAGGGGCATTCAAGATGCCATGATAGGGGAGGCACTATAGTACAGGAGGCAGGGTAAGAACATGAGACAATATACGCAGTAGTATATAGTATTTGTATTAGGAACAATATTTTTAGTGCTACTTTATTTTGACGTCATTATCTACGCGTGATTTATTAATTTATATGTCATTTTCATATTATTTTGTAAGTGTGTGGTTTAATTTATACAAAATTAAAATATAATGTTATAGTTATAATATATCATCAAATGCATCAAAGCATCTTTAAATTAAAGTTAAACATTGTTGTCTGGTGTGGTTTCGGAGATGCGACTCCGAAATTTGTCTAGTGTGAATACATAAATGCATATCCTGATCAATTTATTTCAAAAAATAGTGTTTCAGTGAGGAATGAGTGGGGTGTAGATGGAGTAGTTCCAGAGATGAATAAATTTTAGAGAAAACATGGAGTGAGACTCAGTTGGGGCATGTTTCAGTGAGACTCAGGATGCGTCCGAAGATGTATATCCAAAATTATAAGGGCATTTTTTAGATTTTCATAAGGTGTTTTCCACCACTTAGGGTGGGATTAACAATTTCCTACATTTTTTAAATGATTATCCTACCCAAATCAAACCGATTGGTTATCAACGGTGGATCATTTTTATTTGAAAGAAATTGTTTAAAGCACCCTAACATACCCTCGTGAAAATTTAAAAATACTCTTAAATTTCTTATATGTATCTTTGGACATATATTAAACACACAATTTATTTGTTTTTTAGTCACGCCTCAATTATATGACAAAATTTATTTCAAAAATATATATTTTTGTAGTGTTTTCAAAAATATTTTTTTGAAACCTATGTTTAGTTAGTGTGTTTCATTCACACGTGTAAATATTTGCTTAATTTCCTATTCTTGTAATTACTTGTGCCAAAGTTGATGATTTTTCCTTGCCGTGCTAAGCTTGCTGACATACAATTTTAGAATATGCATACATTTGCTAGATGTCAGATTCTGCCTCTTTTTGGTCGACAGATTCTTACAAGTGAAGAAGTTAGTGTAGTTTAAAAAAAAACTACAATACATGGGAGGAAGTATTGTGATGGATTTGATTTAGCTTAAATATTTTGACATAACTTAATTAAAGACGGCTCTGAGAAAAAAGAGAAATGAAAACAGTAGAATCACACTGCACAGTGATTCATTCAAGTTGTTACCTGTAATGGCATTTCAATAAATATTTAAAAATAAATTTAATTATAAAACTAGGATTTTTTCTTTAAACGGCTAAGAACAATTATATTAGAAAAGAAAGTGAACTAGCACAAGAAATGATAGGAATCAGACAATACAGCGAAAGAAAATTACAAAAAGCTAAACTGTACACCAGCAAAGACTAAAAAAAACCATCAAAACTCCTACACCAAAATTGACCCTAAAACAAAAACAGCTACACCAGTAACAAAATCACCAAACAAAAAAAAGGAGAACAAAACATAAGAAAGAAACTGCAGCTTCAAAATGCAAACTACTGCTGCCAACTGATCTTTGCAAGCTAAACTGAAGCGCTGTTGCATATGCTCAATTGCAAATCCACTGAACAACCAAAAATTCAAAGGCTGCAACTATCAAACTGATTTCAATTGACAAGCAACACTTACACCTGCTCCTACAACGAACCCCGCCTAAACCAACACCAGAAGCACCAAGAGCTGCACTACTAATTCCCACAGCTCCAGCAAAAAAAAGAGATTAATAAATAAAAAATCACCTAATAAGTTGTTGTATATGAAGTGCATTTGATGTATTTGTAAAATAAGAGGTGCACTTTTAAATTTTCATAAAGTATTTTTTTCACCGGTTAGAATGGAATTAAAATTTCCTATTAATTACATGTTGGATCATTTTTGTTTGGCTTAAGGGTTGAATTATATGGGCCTGTTTGTTTTCTTTTTTTTTTAAATGATTTTTATAATGTAATATATTTTTGTCGAAAAAAATTTGCAAGAAACTTTTAATAAAATTTTTAAATGAAAATTCGATTTAAATAATTATTTTTAAAATGTGATTTTAAATGTATCAACATTTTATCAAAAAAAAATAATTTTAATATCAAAATTTTAAAAAATCACATAATTTTAAAATTATTTTAAATAATTTTTCATAAAAATCATTTTTGAGATAACTTTTTTTTAAAATTGTGATTTCGACTATGTTTTGATTTTTAATAATGTATATTTATATTATATGATGTCAAAATTAGTCTTACAATTTAGAAGAAACAAATATATAAAAGATTTGTAATATTTTAAAAAACGGTTTTACAAAATCCATTTTAAAAATTTTAAAAAAAAATCATTTTTTTAAAGTTGAAATTAGGGCTGGCAATGAACCAAACCAACTCGAAGATAGTTCGGAATTCGACTCGACAATTAAATCGTTGAACTAGGTTCATGAACCAAATGAGTTGAGTATGAGCGAAAAATTAAGTTCGTTAACTAAATGAGCTGAACTTGAACTATACATAGTTCGACTCGTTAGGTTCATGAGTCAACTCGGTTACATATGAAAAGAATTATATTGTCTTTAAGATTAGGTTTAAATATTTACTTCAAAACTTAGACAAATTTAATCTTCAATTTAGTAGTTTTTGAATTAGACTCTCAAATGTATCTCTTGAAAGTTGTGTAGGTTTTGAATTAGTAGATTTCAAAGATAAAGTTAAATTTCAATATGATAACTTTTATTTTATTTTAATATTTTATTTAAAAAATATATATTTATTTAAAATGTCAAATATACTAAAAAATATATATATTTAAAAAAATAGTTTTTAAGTTCGTGAACCATGTGAGATGAACCTAATGAGATGAACCTAACGAGTCGAACCGAACTGTTCGTGAACTTATAACGAGTCGAGTTTGAGCTTAAAAAAAAGTTCGTGTCGAACTCGAACTCGAACTCGAATTCGAACAATTCTTAACGAGTCGAGCCGAGCTGAGGTGAGTTCGACTCGACTCGACTCATTTCCAGCCCTAGTTGAAATAAACAGGAGATCTATAAAAAAAACCTTTATACACCCATTTTGTACTTCCTACCCCACCAAACCTCCAAAATTCATATTTCCTCTGGACACTTTTAAAGATAAAATTTGATCAAAAGATATAAGTGAACACTCCCATTCCACGAGATTGCCGCAACATATTTTATATTTTGGCAAACTTAATTTCTACTTTGTCGAAATTTAATTTTTATTCTGACCAACTTGAACTTAGACCTTGGCCCTAAATTAAAATTAGGGTTGACCGGACAATTTTTTATTTCTATGTTACTTTTTAAAACAATTGTTATTCCAACAAACTCACTTCAACTGTCACTATTTCTATCTATTACTATCTGGCAAAATTGAAATTTTAGTTTGTTGGAAGTAATCAAAATATTGTTTGAAGAATATTTTTTAAAATTGCTTCTAATTTATGAGGGTGACTGAAGAATAATTTAAACAATTTATGCGATGAAATGTTACTATGAAACAGCTTTCAATATATTGATTGATTCAACAAAGTGTATATATATAGACTTATACAACCTAAAGCCTAGTTGATGCAGTTGGAAAGGCCTAAGAATAGGAGTTCGTTGTAACAAACATGTGGACTTAGCTAACTTAATGATCGAGTAACTAATTAAAATAATATGGTTAATTAACTAACTATAATGCTCCCCCTCAAATTGGAGGTTGAGGATTATTATCTGTTTGCTTCTTGTTTGGTTGGCAAGTAATTTTGTATTGATCCTTATGAGATATGAAATCACACCTTGCCAACTGAACCAACTTGGCTGTGCTGCAACTCTATACCATACTCAGCATGTTGCTTGAGTAATAAAAAGAAAAAGTTATACAAACTTTGCCCATGACCAAGAAGAACTCGTAATTAAATTTTAATCCTCCAAACTGATGAAATTAACTAATCTGCCATTTTTTTAATAACCCCCAACTAGTGTTGTTATCTTTCCAGAGGAGGAAACAGATCAACAAATACATACATAATATAGATGCAATTACAGCATTATCTTGCATGTATGCATTAAACATTAGGCAAATATATAACAGAAACAACATCAAATATGTGATAACAAATGCATAATCCACTAGAGTTCACTATTTTATAAACTGTAACATATGAAGAAGTGCTGTAACCATCAAAACTGAAAATCAAAGTCATACATACTACAATAACAGAAAACAAACAAGGGTCTATATAAAGGAGTACTGAAAAATGAACCTAATATGAGATCTCCTATATCGCTAACAACATAATTTCTGAATCCAAATCCAAACCTTCCTCCCTACATATCATCTAATAGTTCTGTGAATAATCAAAGCTCAAAGGTTGACCAAATGGAGCCTGCAAAGAAAAATAAAGGTATCTCAGATGCGTGATTATAGAACATTCAAAATCAGAGAACTTAAAAAGGAAGATAAAAAACAATTCCTTGCCCAGGAGGAAAATTCATCCACAGAAAAAGTAATCATTTGAAAATTCATCCATAAAATGATTCCTTTAATTGGACAACTTATTTCAACTTTGTTCAAAAAGAAAGTGTTCATAGAAAGGGAAAATAACAATACAAGCTGATTCTTTATTAAATGCATGTGCTTCCCTTACCAATAACCACCAGATCATATCAAAAATTCACTAATATTTGTGATTAGTAGTTAAATAAATATTTCAATTGTTTTTTAATTAATAAAGCAAAGGTCGGTAGGGGATCATCGGGTACCCTTTTTCAGGAGTACACGCCTTAGATAGTGCGCATGTTGTGAATATTGGCATTATAGCGGAGAAGGAATGAACTGTGGTGGGATGATAAATCCTAATTTTCTGCATTTTGAAGCAGCGGCGGCAGCAAATCCAGTCAAATAGCAGCACAATTGCCCTTTAGAAAGGCTGTTTTGTCCTTTTCCAATTTAAATTCATGTTGCCCTACCTCTCTTCCTAGTGATTCACCAAAAACAAAGACAATGAGACAACGCTATTCTACTCTGCATTTCTATAACTGCAAAGATCAAAAGTAGCATAAAGACTCTTTGTCTCTGGCGACGGTGGAGACATTTTCTGGCAACCATAGTTATGTCTGCGACAACTGGCACATTCAAGTTCAGGTTCTCTACACTTTCTCGGCTTGGTGTATAGGTTCTAACGCTGTTTTTGACATTTGTGCATGCCAAATGCAAAGACCAACCAGCACCCAACACAATAGACACTCTGCTCTGATAGTGATTTTAAAGACTCGGCTTGTTATTTCAAATGTTTTTAGAACTTGAACTAGTAGTTATGTTATATTGGACTATGATTTTGAATGTAAGTGAAAATTTATAAGGTAAATTATAATTATCGAGTATGACTACTGTTTTAATTAGGTTTCTTTTAATATTTCTCTGTACTGTTGGGATTTATATTTTGTATACTGTATTTTAGTGGTTATCCTCTTATCCGCTATACCACTTTGGCGGTTTTGGGGTCGGGCACTCCGCACCACTATCCGAGCTTAACAAAGCCTAACAATACATGCTAGATATCACAATTTTAGTGAGCTCAGTAAGGGAAGTAGGTACAGTTGTGGTGACACTCATGAGTCATGATACCGCGTATCAGGAAAATTCATATGAATCATGAAAATTATAATTTCAACACACCTCCCCATAAAATTTGAATAGTGCAAGTTGGAGAGTAAAAATAGCCTAATAATCCAAACCTATAATCACTCTGTTACAAGAGGCAAGTCATTCCAAAAAGCCATTCTAAACAATCAAAATGGTTAACCCAAAACACAGGTAACTTAAGAAATTATTAGATTTATTGCAAGCATGTCATGATGGCATTTGCAGCTAATGCAGAATCACTCATCGAACTCAACATGGTAAAAAAATTAAGTGAAATAAATGGGGTTTACCTGGTAAACAGCATGTCTAAATTGGTCATATGAATGTGCATACATCATTGTAGGACTTGGCCACTGTAGGTAAGCACCATCTCCAGATGCTGGATTCAATCCTGGGGTACAAAAAGGGCTCATTATCGGGGTTGAAGGGGGTCCATATCCAAGTGAGGCCTGAGTTTGTGCCATTTGACCCAACTGATTAAAAGTAATGTCATACTGAGCAAATGAAGGTTGAGCTTTTGGCAAATTAAAGGGCACCAAATTAACTGCGGAGGCTGAGAGACTCCTAGCATACCTGAACCAATAATTAAATTCAATCTAATTAGTAAGCCAACTAATATATTTAGACCATATTTGGAATCAACAACTTAAGTGCTTATGACATAGGTGCCTATCATATAAATGTTGATGTATAAACTATTTCTATAACAATGGATAAAATAAAGTCAAACAGTTTCATACAAGTTATAAGTTGTTTTCATAAGCAATCGTGAGAGCTTGTGGGTGTGTCATAAGTTGTTTCCATAAGCTATCCCTATAATTCACTGACACAAACATGCACACAAGACACGACACTAACACATCTACACTGATAATAATTTAAGAAAATGATTTGATTGAATGCAACATGTGTTACCGTCGTCTCGGACACCAAACACATTCAATCATTTACATACAAGTTATAAGTTGTTTTCAAAGCAACCATGAGAGCCTATGGGTGTGTCATAAGTTGTTTCCATAAGCTATCCCTATAATGCACCGACACAAACACGCACACGAGACTAACACATCTACACCAATAATAATTAAAGAAAATGATTTGATTGAATGTAACATGTGTATGTCGTTTCGGACACCAGACACACCTTCAATCAAAAGTGTCATGTTACATCATAGAGATCTCCTAAACAGTCTCATAAGTATTTGTGCCAATAGATAAATTCAAATAAGTCAATCCCAACCAGCTTTTAAAGTTTAAATCAGTACAAATACATCAACTACAAGATAACCAAAAAAAAAGAAACAAAAGATGTTGCTAAACATTCCATAGTAAGTTTTAAAAATTATACAATCAAGAATTCCATTTAAATGCCATCAAGATAAAATAAACTTCATTCTTGGCTCTTCCTCTTCTATCTCTTACACAAAAAGATAGCTTTTATTTTTATTTTCACTTATACAAAACACAAGACAAAGTGTAGCAGAGTCAAATGGGAAAAAAAATGTTGTACTTGTAATTATGATACATATTTTAAGACAGTTGTAACAGTACATAGATAAAACTCACCTTCCATAGCTACGATCATAATCTGGATCACTTCGATCCTTTTCCCTATCTCTGATAATGGCAACTCGAGGATAACTATTATCCCTCACACTAAAGCATCTTTCAGAATCAGTCATGGGGATTTTGCTAGTTTCACTTTCATCCTTGCACATTAAAGAACTTCTCCCATCTATTGGGACCAAAGTCGGGGTATCACCTGAATCAAAGCTTGTAGAGCCATTAAAGATACGTGCTCTTGCCCGATCATATTCCTCCTTCCTCTCTTCCACACTTCTTAGAGGGTTTCCTTTTCTAGCAGAATCATTGGCTCCATTCAAACAAGATTTATGAGGCCTAGGTCGAATGACAATTTTTTTCTGCTCAGATTTCTCATTGTCCAACTGTTTCACAGGTATTTCAGATAAACGAACCACTGGATATTTGCTTTCAGGTAACTTTCTGACCAGAATTTTACTCTGGCCATCTAAGCCATTATCTTGAACCATTGTTTGCATACTGTAGTGTTGAGCAACACGGTGTGCAGCCAATCTGAGATAGGAAGAAGGGAAATGTTGAAACTCAAAATGCTGTTGATCAGCATTATTCAGAAATTTCTGGATGTCCAGCTCCATCCGCAGAACTAAAGATACAAACAATGTAAAAACACCAATTAACAAAATGTCATTATACAAGGGGAAATGTAAGAAAATAACCAAAATACAGCCAAAAAGGGAAATTATAAGTAAAGCATAGTGATCACAGAATAGCTCACTTATTTTTTTTATGAAACTCTTAATCCAACTACCCAAGGACTGCAGGCCTAAGCTTGTGAGTTACGATGATAACACAAATTTAAAACTCAAAGTAAAAAATACATTATACATCTAATCCAGGGGAATGGGTGATAATAGATGTCTACTGAAAGCAGCTCAATTAGAACCTCAGGTTGCATTTATCTTATTTCAGCTATGCTTTAATGTAACAATTTTCTAGGGTGCATATTTCTATACATGCATAAATTTAGTTTTTACACAAGATTGGATACTTGACAGTTTCAAAATATCACCAATACAGTTAGAAGCTATGAAGCACAAACACAACACGACACTCACTCATAGATTTCTATGATGATTTAAAATGATAGAAGTGATTTAATTTAACCAGTAGCCACATCATGTAGATGCCGTGTCAGACTCCGACACGGACATGTGTTAGACATCAGATAGGCTTTGAATCAAAGCGAAGTAGATTATGAGCTAATGATTTGCTCCAGCAGATCGTAGCTTAAGTCTTATGTCAAGAAAGCAAGTGTGAAAGAATCTTAATCAAGAGACTAGCAACTTAACAAACCTAACCTTATAAGCCATGAAAAAAGGGGAAGGGTTAAGTGGGGATGAGTACATCAATACACCAGGGTGAACACGCTCTTATACATGAAAACGATATACTCAAACAGAACTTATGAACTTCGGAAATCAAGGTACTTCTCCATTCATCATCCCTAGCTACTCCCTCAAAATTTCATTGCACAAACATTCAAAACTCAGCCTAGATTTTATCCTTTGAAGAAGGATATCATCTTCAACAAACCTAGGGCTAGGATTCACATAATCAACCAACAAGAAATTCGAATAAATTGGAACTCAACACCCCCAATTAACATCTAATTTCAATCTCAAATTATCACAATAGCACAAAAAAATAACAATACCCATTCCAGATCTGACATAATTCAACCTAAACACAACAGGATTAAAAAATACACATCCTAATCCAAACCAAAACCTAGAAACAAAATCCAAATCACTACAAGAACAAAAAGGGGGTAAAACCAAAATCGAGCTAAAACAACAAGCAAACCCAAAAGAATCAACACATAACTAAACAATTTCAAAGAAAAAACTAACTGGTAAGGCGATGACGAGGGTTCTGAAGAGCTTCCACCAAAAACGGGTCAACCATTGACTCCTTATCTTTGAACCCAGAAACTGCATCGTTGGAGAAACAGGATGAATCCATTTTTTTTGTGATTTTTGGTTTCACCCAAAAAGGGGAAAATGAATATAATAAAAAAATTATATTATTATCTTGTTCTTGTTTCCTTCCCTCTAATAATGAGGGAAAGGAATAATAAAAGGGTCAAGAAGAAGAAAAAGAAGAAAGATAGGAGAAGGATTTGTGCCTTATAAACATGAACAACGAAGAAAGAAATTAATATTTCTTTGTGAAATCAACGTTATGTGTTACAAGTTGTTAACTGACAACAGGGAATACAAAAGGGTCACCGCATTATCTTCTTTGTACGGTTCGGTTTTTACAATTCCACTAGAGTCACATGATATATCAACCATTTATTTCCACACGTCTACTTTTTTTTTTTTTTCTTTCTTAAAAAACCAAAAATAAATAAAATATCCAATGATGATATAATATTTGTTTTTATTAAAGATTTAATTAATGTGTAACGAATTACTTAATTTAAAAATATAAAAAAATATATAGAGTAGTTAGTTCACTTTTATTTTTTATTGGAGTTCATTTTTTATTAAAAAGGGTGAGTATTAAATATTTGAAGAAAATTTTTAAAAGGATGTATTTGATTAAGATTTTAAAATAAAATTAAAATAACATGAATTTTATGAAATTCAATTAAGATATTTATAAAATATGAATAAGTTTTTAGCATCCAATTATTATAATTAGCATATCAATGAAATTATTTGTTATCGAAAAATTTATTTATGGGTGTGAATAATTTTTTTTAATTTACTGTAAATCATAGCCTATAATTTAGATTTAGTTGAATAATTAATTAAGTAAAAATGTTAATTACAGTTAAATAAAAATGTTAACCATTAGATCAGATTCAATGCAATGGTTGTGATTTGGAATAAGTTAAAAAAAATTACTTTTGAAGAAAATTTATCATATATATATATATATATATATATATATATATATATATATATATATATATATATATATATATATATATATATATATATATATATATATATATATATATATATATATATATATATATATATATATATATATATATATATATATATATATATATATATATATATATATATATATATATATATATATATATATATATATATATATATATATATATATATATATATATATATATATATATATATATATATCCAAAAAGTACAATGTGTGATTGTTTCTCCAGCAAAGGCATGTTGACTCAAAAGTCATAGTAGGTATGTTATAATTTTGAAAGGTGAGGGTTAGCTCACAGTAACGAGTAGCTCTATACATTGGTTTTTGAGGTTGTTTGAGTGACCAACTCACGTGAGGTGAGAGGCTCTGTCAGTGGTCGACGTTGCTTGGTACAGGTAGGAGGTTGAATTGACAGTGTTAGGACTAATTGGAGTGAAGTGCTCTCAGATCAGTAATAGATGTGTTTCACTTGATCTCTTTTTTCCTTGAGGGATATTACATTTATAGGGATCCTGATACCTATGGTTTTTGCCTCCTATATGTGGTCTTGGCTACTTCCCACTCAATATGAGGTTATTGTCTTCCTATATTATCGGAGTCAACGACAACTGTCTCTCTCTCTCTCACGTGGCCCCTACGTACGCGAGCCCTCCTAGGAAAATCCCTTAGATTCTGTTTGGGCGGCCCATTTGCTAGGCGAGGGCGTCCTAGTCTAGGAGATCAAATTCTTTGAACTTAAGTAATGGAACATGATTAATGTGGATTATGCTGCCAGGTTTGAGGAATTATTTAGGTTTTACCCTCATTACAATGGGGTAGAGGTTGAAGGGTCCAAGTGCATGAAGTTTGAAAGTGGACTTCACACAAAGATCAAACAGTGTTGGTTAATATGTGTCGTATTTATGATGAAGATAGTCGTGCTAGATCCACTTATTACAAAAGTGTTAGTGATTAGAGGAATGGCAATTAGAACCACGGAAAGTTGTATGTTATTCCATATGTTAAACTTAAGTAGAAGTTTCAGCAGAGAAATAATGGTGGGAGGAGTCAAAGTGGGGGAGGTGTTCCTGCTCCTATCAAGTATTTTAAATGTGAGGTTCTTGGTCATCGTGCTTTAGAGTGTACTGCAATAACATGCTTCAAATGTGAAAAGATATGACATATAGTTATTGAATGCAAGAGTGTTGCTTTTGATTGTTTCAACTATGGGGAGATTGGTCATATTGGTACACTATGTCATAAATCCAAGAAGACGCTGGATGTGAAAGATGGTGGAAAAGTATTTGCTCTCAGTGGTGCAGATGCCTCAAAGTCTGATAATATGATTCGAGGTACTTGTTATATTAATGGCATTCCTTTTATTACTATCATTGACATTGGTCTGACACACTTTTATATCAGTTGATTGTGTGAAAAGATTGAATCTTGTAGTATCTGCTATGAACGGTAGTATGGATATCGATGCTCCAACTAATGGGTTGGTGGCTACTTCTTTAGTTTGTTTTAATTTCCCTTTGATAAAATATGGTAGGGACTTTGGTATTGACCTATTTTGCTTTTGGTTGAGTCAACTTGATGTTATCTTGGGTATAAACTTGTTGGATTTTAACCATGTTTATATTAACTGTTATAACTAAACTGTGTTATTTCTTGAGTTCATGGAAGAGAAAGATCGTCACTTTATATTTGCTGGACAAGTATAAGAGTTCTTAAAAGATGAAGCTCAAGTGTTTGCAATGTTTGCTTATTTAAAAGTCTAAAATAAATCATCATTGGACAATTTGTCTATAATGTGTGAATTTACATGTTTGTTTCCAGATAATATTATTAATCTACCGCCAAAGAGAGAGGTTATGTTCGTCATAGATTTATTACCTGGTACTAGACATGTATCATGGCACCTTATAGAATGTCTCCAGTAGAATTGGGTGAATTGAAAAAGTTTATTAGAAGACATGTTTGAAAAGAAATTTGTCAGACCAAGTTGAAGGTAAGAAAAGTACACAAGAATATGGGAGGGTTAAATTGTATTTTTCGTTTTCTTAATTTGCATCTTATCAAAGTTCAGAATCTAAACTGGGGTTCAGATTTTGGTTATACCTGGCAGTGGAATGTTAATAGAAACAAATAAATAATAGCACAATACACAAATATTTATATTGATTCCTCACAAATGAGAGTAGTTATTAGAACAGGGATAGAGTATCGGGATTTGTTATCGTCCTCAGGGATTATGTGATATTACCGCCGTTCGACAGTTGCTAAGTTCTTAACTTATAGTAACAAGAGGGTTTTGGTTTTTGGTTACGGTAGCTTGCATAAAAAGTAAGAAATTGTGGTAAAAGTTTTGGTTTTACGATTTGAGAAAGATTGTCAAAGTTAGGGTTCGACGATCACTTTGCATGCATATGTTCAATCAAGCAAAACTCATAAACTCCATTAGATGATAAACACATTCACAATATCCTCCCAATGTGATTATTTATAACACACATTGTGGTTTTACCCATTTTGATCCATTGTTGATTTCTCACACAATCTATAAAAATGACAACTTTTAGGTTTGACATTTTAGTGAACAAACACATTCAAAACTATCTCTAGCTCAAGAACATAGATGGATGAGAACCTAGGTAAAGAGTTGGAAAACACCTTTCAATAATAAACCAACACAAAGAGTTATCAATAAAACAAGGTTTTCACCATACATTCATCATCAAAGAGTTTACAAATGAAGATCAACCCATAAACACACAAAGCTTATGACCATCTACATCTAACCTTGACAAAATGAAAGATTTAGCTACTCATTTTCATGGTAGCTTGAACAAGAATAAAAGGGAGAAGATGAAAGTACATCTGCGTCGAAGAATCGAAGAAGGATGTGATTCCACTTCTCTCGATTACACACTGAGCAAAAGCAAGAAAAACTATTATTTTTAGGAGTTCTAGAACTAGGTTAAAATGTTACAAGATGATATTATTAAAGATAGATAAGTTATGATCCCTATAAAGCACTAAATAAAGTACAAAAGATGTTCTGCTTTCCCCCATTCTCCAGGCGAACCAAATGAAACAAGGCACTTTAAAGTGCCTCCAGCAAGGAAACCGCCCTTCTGAGTTATCGCGCCTTCGCCAGGCGAAGGAATCATTCGCCAGGCGAACCTTCGCTGGCTTCACTCGCCAGGCGTATTTTATGTTGGTTTGCTACTGGAATATCCAAGGATCCTTCGCCAGCTCCTTCTCCAGGCGAATGGTAGCGAAGCTTCGCTGGAACCATTCGCCAGGCGAACTTCATGCCCTTTTGGTCTGGGAGTTTAATTTGAATTACTTGCTCTGGCTTGCCAGCACTCGCCAGGCGAACATTCGCTGACACTCGCTGAGCTTCGCTAGGCGAATATTCTGATATCCATCTTCTTCTAACAACTCTGTCTCATCTTTTCCAAGGTGCTCTAACACTCCAACTAGTGTCAATCCTGCGCACTAACAGCAACATTACAAGCACCATTCACTTGGACCAAAACAACATGAAACTAAGCAAATCAATCTACTAATTCACACACTAATAGATAAAAGCAAGTAAAATTACTACTAATAGAGATCAAATATATACTATAATTGGGATCTAACAACTCTCCCTAACTAACTTATTTGCATGTCCTCAAGCAAAGTATGTCTATCAAAACAAAAAGGAGGATTTGCTCAAGAACCAACTCAACCCAAGTGAAAATATTCGGCTCAAATACACAACAAGTGCAACAAGGCAAAAAGTTACACGATCCCACAATAAACAATGTACAAGAATTTGATTCTAAAAACAAATTAAAACAATGCTTCAAGAAACAACTAAATTTCATGACATGTCATTCTAACACTCCACTTCAAAAAAGGATTGAAGTAAAACGCGCATGCAAGCACGGGACAAAAATTCACTCAAATGACAAACAATGCAATACTCAACAATTTATACAATATCTAAATGATCACAACAAAATTATGGAAGTTGAAGATCACATAGGACTTAAAGGGTTGTAGTTTGGTCG